CCGTTGCATGACTTGGTAAACAAAATGACAAAGAAACACAGTAAGGAGAAAAAGAAAGGCAAAACACAACTGATAGGTGAATTATGGACTGAGGAATGCCTGAACTCGTTTAAGCTACTGAAAAATGCTTTGACAGAGGCGCCGATATTAGGATACGCAGACTTTGACAAACCATTTCGGCTAGAAATTGACGCCAGCTCTAAAGGTCTGGGAGCTGTACTATCACAACAACAAAAGCAAGGTTTCAGGGTTATTGCGTATGCCAGTCGAGCTCTGAAGGAATCAGAGAAGAACATGACAAATTACAGCGCCATGAAACTAGAACTTTTGACATTAAAATGGGCTGTGACTGAAAAATTCAGGGACTATCTATTAGGTGCTAAATGTGTGGTATACACTGACAATAACCCCCTGAGTCACCTACAGACAGCAAAGCTGGGATCCATCGAACAGCGATGGGCAGCAGAATTGGCACTCTTTGACCTAGAGATAAAATATCGCCCGGGGCGGTCCAATGGTAATGCGGACGCTTTATCAAGGAATCCTTACGAGAGACCGGGCGATGAGGAAGAAACGCTGACAGGAATATGTGAGGTCAGAGCGTCAACAGATATCCCTCACGGGGTGCAAGTAATGCAAAACGGGCAGACTGTGGTGGAGCACATATCCACAGAGCCCCGACATATGGACATCAGTGATTTTAACTGCCTTAATCATAAAGAGATAAGAGATGCCCAGAGAACGGATAGCGGGTTACAGCCGCTATTGAAACACGTCCAGGAACAAAAATTCCCAAGAAGAAGGGAAAGAGAACAGTTTGGTCGGGAAACAAAGAAACTACTGAGTCAGTGGGACCGTCTCAGTATAAAGGATGGTGTTCTCATGCGGAGAATTCATGACCAAATAGACGGGACAATACACCAGGTGGTGGTGCCTGGACAGTTACGAGAAGAAGTGCTAAAGTTGGCACATGACAGGGCAGGACACCAGGGTCAGGACAGGACGCACAAAATATTACGACGGCGGTGTTACTGGCCCAATATGGAGATGGAGGTCAAACGCCATTGTGAGGCTTGTGTGAGGTGTCAGCATGCGAAAATGCCAGTCGTTAAAATGAGACAGCCATCAGGACACTTACTGGCGACAAAACCACTAGAGATTGTGGCTATGGACTTTACGTCGTTGGAGCAATCATCGGATGGGACGGAACATGTGTTGGTAATGACTGATGTATTCACCAAATGGACTGTTGCGGTGCCCACACGAGATCAGACGGCTAAAACAGTGGCAAAGGTCTTAATAGAACACTGGTTCACCAAATATGGCATACCAATACAATTACACTCTGACCAAGGAAGGGCCTTTGAGTCAGAAGTAATTAACCAACTGTGCAGCCACTACGGGATCAACAAATCTAGAACAACCACATTTAATCCGAAAGGAAACGGACAGTGCGAGCGGTTCAACCGCAGCATGCATGATTTGCTGCGTACTCTAGAACCTGAACAGAAAAAACGTTGGCCTGATTTTCTCCCAGAGTTGGTATATCTATACAACTGCACCCCCCATGCCACAACCGGCTTTTCGCCACACATGTTACTGTTCGGACGGGAGGCTCGACTCCCTCTTGACTTGTTCCTAGGGAAAAAGGAAAGTATGACTGGCTCATACACCGCACTAGAATATGTGAATGAACATATGAGACGAATTAGAGAAATGTACAGGGTGGTACAGGAAAGACTAGAACATGAAGCACGGCGAAGGGAACCGCCGGTACAGACAAAGGACCCGCCACTCAAACTGAACGACAGGGTATTACTGCGTAGCCACCCGTTAGGCAGAAACAAAATCCGCGACCTCTGGGGACAGGAGATATGGCAAGTCGTGGAGATGCCTAAAGTAGCAGGTGGCCCCTTTAAGATAAGACCCATCAATCACACCAAACCGGATCGGTGGGCGAATATTGCTCAATTAAAGAAATATTGGCATAGGCAAGAAGAGCATTTACATACAAGGAAACCTAAGACAATTAGGGAACCGGAAACTATAACGGAAATTCACATACCCATCCCGGAACCATGTCACCATCAACAGAACAACAGCGATACACAAGTGGAGGATAACGGCAACAAAGAGGATCCCGTTCCTCCCAGAAGCAGAGAGACAGTAGACCATCAGATAAGTGGTCCGCGGAGAAGTTTGAGAAACAGAAAGAATACGAAATTTTTCGTCAGCAACCATCAATTCTTTCATGGTCGCGCTGGTATGAGAACAGACTGTTCAAAAAGTTATAAAAGTGAACTGGTGAAGGCACCAAACGAAAAAAAGGTGGATGTGAATTCTAGAACTGCTTTGTGTCTGAGGAATATGATGTAGACACATTTGATATGTGAAATAGGGATAACTGTCAATCTTTTACGAATGTGACGACATTGACAGTGAATGGAACAATAAATTTTTTTACAATGGTGCGATTGATATTTAAGAAGTGCACCTACCAAGCGTTGTTTGTGGTTGAAAACACACAAAAAAAAAAGGCGGCGGTGGATGTAACTAGTGTAGTTACCAGGGACGATAACAACGCAATAGTGCAGGTGTTGGGCTGATAACGATCACAAAGCCGCGGCGCAGTTCACAGGCTGACGTAACAGTGCAGATGGTTTATTAATCGGATTGTAGGACAGAAGCTGCGCAATTAATATTCTGATGCAACGATTAGAATCGATTACGAATACGATTACAATTACGAATACGATTACGGATACGAAGGGATATATAGGAAGGCGACGGCTGAGAACGAGTCAGTCAGTCAGTCAGTCAGGGAGTAGAAGTGTGGCAGTATCAAGTTGGTTATTGAACGGTGTAGACGTATTGTGTTAATAGGGACGATAGACATGTGCATTCGGTTATGTGAAGACTAGTGAGGACGGTTGGGGGTCAGTTGATTCATTATATTATTGTGAAGCATTTCTTTTTGATTCATGTAATAAAAGGATCAATGGTAAACCTGCATCTTCGAGTATCTATATTGTGGTCGATGTTGTGTAGACTGAGTAAATACACTCGTTAACATTTGGCACTACAAGCAAATAGACTGGTTACGTTTGGCGTTGTCGAGCAGAAGATGCAACTAGACTCGGTTACATATACATTTCATAGTGTACGTAGATCTAAATCAAATTTGAATGAAATAGTTCATTTCTTTTCATTCTAAACACGGCAGATGACGTCATTAGTTAATGTATAAGCAATAGTGACGTCACAGTTTTATGCGTTCTTTTTCACATATATTAATGCTTTTCCGGTTGCATAAATAATACTGTTTCTCTACATTCGAATACGCCTTTAATTTTTATTTTTCTTCTTTAACTAAAATTGTGGTTATACATTTAAAACATCTAACATATTATTTTCAACAAAAGTCCGTATAAAGTTCTGCATATATCGCTGCCGTTTCTGACGTGATGTCCGGCGAAAATATTTTGCGGACAGACAGAGAGAGAGAGAGAGAGAAGAGCGCACATGGCCTTTTATAAATTAGGATTGTAATTCCAGATCAGATTGAGTTAGGCTAAGTGCTTTACTAGTTTGACATGACTAGAAAGTTTGACTTACAAGGCCTACATATAATTAGGCCTAATACTTAGCCTAATATTAATAAGCCTACTATTTTATTTAGGCCTATTACTTTTTAACTTAGGTTAATTTTGCTAGGGTTGGTTGTAAGAATCTATCAATCTAGACTTAGGACTTAGATCTAGATATAGTCTAATATAGGGCCCTATTTCTCCAGATTTGTTAACATGTGTTGCTGAAAAGTGACTGTACACCACAGTTATGTACTTTACTGTCACCCTATTGAAATAAATATCAAGCGTAGTAGCCAGTAATAGGTCTAACCGTAATTGGTGGTTTTAAGATTATTTCATCAAAAGAAACTTAAGAAGAAAAACATCAAATTAGCAACAGAGATTCGCTGCTGGTACCAATTTATTGTGCAATGCTGATTGCAGTTTTTTAATGACCTCATAATAAAACCATATTTTTTTAAATGAATTTGCTCCAATCACACCACAAATGTCAAGCTTTGTAATTTTAGCCAGCCTCTTGTAAACATCCAACTCCTAACATTATAATATATAATGGATGGATAGGCCCTATTAGGCCTACTTGTTAATATAGGATTAGTTGGCAACATTAGATCTTCATTAGGTCTATATTCAATATATTAAAATTACATTATTGTATTGAAAATTGTAAACCCACTTTCAATTTCACATAACACTTCTTGTTACCTAAAGAACTTGTAATACTAAATGGTCATTACCTGCCTGTTAAGAATCAGTGAATTAAATCATTACAGCCATTTGGGATCCTATACTATGAATCTCTGAATTGTGGATAATGATGCCTAATGATTATTAATGGTCACAGCATTTATATTCATATCACTAGGCCTAGTGTTAGTAGTATCACCATTATCAGGTTTCATACACTGCCCAAACTCTATTAGAATGTCCTAGTCCACCTAGCTCTGATGGGTACCTAACACATTAGGGAAAGTAAAGACGGCTAGTCGTAGTGCTGACCACACTATCCCTTCATATGCCATGGTCACAGTAACAGTTGAACTCACTATTTCACTTCCCCCACGGACCGTCAGGTTCAAAAAGGGAACTTCACTATTAAATAAAGTAACAAAGGCCTAATGGATACTGGCTAAATGTTTATTTTGTGCAGTCTACGTCTTCTTGTGCCATGACTAATGTAGTTTGGATTTAGGCTCATTAATGCTTTAACTGGCAAGCATTCTTGCCTACTAAGTAAATCATATATTGGCTTATTAACATTTCGATACAATTAGAGAGGAGGGGGGAAGTATGTTAATATATATTTTAAACATTAAATTAAATGTTTGGGTTGATGGCTTTTAAATGTTAGGCATTGAGTTAAAATTGAGAACTTTTAAAATTAACTGTGTTTTTTTTTTATATCATCAGATATTTACATGAACATCACTGAACATTAGTCTCATTTAAAAGGCTTAGAAATGTAATATGAGCTTTTAAGGATTGAAGAACTTCATAATGTAAGTACCACAAGCTTTTTTTCCCACTGTCCAATAGAACTTTCTAATCAAATTGGTTTTCCCATCAAGAGTTTAAATCGGAAGTAATTGATGATTTTAAAAAAAGGACGATATTTCGAGTCGTCCCTTTAAATCCTGATCAGAACATCACCCTAGCCTCATTTAAAAATAGAAAAAATGGCTTTTTCTGACCTTTTTAGCTCCAAAAATGTATACCGTGATGTCAGCCGCCAACCAAAACGCAAGGAAAGCACGCGTTTGATTGGTTGGCGACTGACACTATGAAATCCTCTAGGAACTGCTTGAAATGTATACCAATTACTCCTAAATTTGTTGCTGAAGCATATTGCATATGAGTCCAAAAAAAAATACTCAATCTCTTTCATTTTGGATGTAGGTCTACTTTTTGCATCATATTTTTTTTAATATGCTTTTAAAATGATAAGAAAGTAGTTCAAGTTCTAGTTTTGATGGTCTTAAAAAGTGTCCTAAAAAGCAGGTTTTTTTTAATTTTTCTGTTAAAAAAACATTAAAGTTGCTGCATCAGAAGTTTAATTTAGATGTTAACAAAAATTAAAGGTGCCAATCAAAACCACCCTGACAAAATAACCCAGTCAATAGAGCCCTGACATATTTGCTCCAGACAAATTGACCCATGACATACGGGCTACAGACTAAACAGCTCATAAAATATTGGCTCTATACAAATAAATCGTATGACAATGATTTTTTATATGAGGTAACCAATCCATCAACCACACGCAGTTCTTAACCTTTACTACCAATAAACTGTAACTTTTTCATGAACCAGCAGCAATTCATAAAAAAAAAAAATCAAGCTCTTAACAGTTAATTTCCACCAATTTAAAATTTTTATGTTTTATTTACAATTGTGAAGATTTGTTGTTCAATAGGGCACAGAAGTTTAATTACATGATATATACTTGATGCTTATAGGATGAATGTTTGGTTTGGATAACCTGCAAATATACTGCAAATAAATGTACAGCTGGGACCTCTTTTTTCTTCTCCTCTCTTCCCCCCCCCCCCCCCCCCCCCCCCAACTGAGTTGGAACAGCCCACAACACACGTGTTTGATGCAAGTCATAGCTAGATGACCCTTAAATTTGAAACATACTATTTCCTATACTAGATAAAATAATAAAAAATAAGGCCTGCCAAATAAGAGCTGAATATGACATAACTTTTTAAAGGTGTTAGCTAAGCTAACTCTAAAGAGTATTGATGAAGGGGTCCCTGTAGCGGGTGTCATATTTAATGAGGCAGTTTGCCAGGAGAATTAGACTTTTTGTGTAAGATTATAGACACTACTAAGTTTTACTGTTTAGTTTAAAAATACAATGAACTTCATTATTTATTCTTTCCAGACCTTACTAGGTGCAGCACTTGACCTGAAATTGAAATGAGCTGAGATGTTGCTTGATCCTGGTTTGAATAGACTTAATAGTTTAAACTTGATGTAGCTGTGATACAGAGTTTAATTGAATAGATAATGTTTATTTTGTATAAAATTTGTGGAAATGTATTTTTACGAAAATCCTGGTAACATTTGTTTGGTCCCATTTTAAATCTTGTCAGATTAATTTGCAAGACTGCCTGCTTGTTCTGAGTTTTGAGCAATAAATTTGTAAAAATATTGCAAGAATGTCAAACTTTCAGCCTATTGGTAGTGAAAAAATTGTAATCAAGACTGAGCCAGTAGACAGTTTTGAATGGGAACCCCAACAAAATGCTTCTGAAATGAATCATAGTTACCAACAGGAAAATGACACAAAACAGTATGACAAACATATTAAACAAGATTTATTTTCATGTAATGATAAAGAAATTCAGGAAAAGTTAAGAAATATGAAGAGAAACTCTTCAAGTTTTGATGAGTTTGAAACAGCCAAGGAAACTAAGGTGAATAAAAGGGGAGACATAGATAAAGCAAAACCCCAAGCAAAAAATGTCAAGTGCAAGAAGAAAAAAATTAAAGATAATGATGATGTCTTTACTCACAGCACAGAGGAAGTAACAAGAAAAGTTAGAAAAGTTAAAAAGAACTCTTCTAAAAGGGAATGTTTAAACGCCTTACCCTCAGAGAAAGATAACACTTTTAAACAATTTAAAAGACACAATTCAGAGGGCACTGATGCCCAATTCTATAATTTACAGCCAAAGCAGTCTGTACTTCATGAAGTTCAAGACTCCATTGATATGAAGCCTACAGTAGAAGAGCTAGAGGATTATTCAAGATCTGTTTCAAAATCAAATTCAGTTCAATCTTTGTCTGGTGATAACTCTTTAGGAAAAACATTGGCTACAAGCTTACAGCTGATTGCTACAAACACTACCTCACCAATAATACCTAGTGATAGCAATGGCACTTCTTATAGAATGCAGGTTATGAGTTGTACATCTAGTTCTCATTCATCTGTAGCAGTTACTCCAGTTGTTGTTCTTTCTCCTGTTGTACCACCTCGAAGATATAAAACCAGATCATCCTCTAAGACTGATAAAGTTAAAGTAAAAAAAGAAAGAAAGTCTCATACTGGCAACAGAGCAGATGAGGGCAAAACAAAATTCAAAGATTCTGAAATGATTAAACCCATTTTAAATAAAGATGGAAGTGTCACTCTTTATCAATGTGAAGAATGTAACAAGGTTTTCAACAAAAAGCAGACTTTACGACAACATTTTATTACACACACAAACAGATTTGCATGTCCATATTGTGATGCACGTTGTAAAAGTAAAGGGGACCTCCGCACCCATATTCAGACTCATACAAAGGAAAAGCCTTATCATTGCGATGTCTGTAACACAGATTATACAAGAGAAAGCATACTAAGAAAGCATATGAAAACCCAGACTCACATCAGAGCTTGCTATGAAAGGGACAACTTACTGCGTTTGCAGAAACAAGCTGATAAGAGTTCTGAGAAGGATGTTGATCAGTTTATCCCTGCTCAGACTAAAGTCCGGTTGGAAGGTTTCTCTTGCAGTCATTGTTCCAAAGTTATGTTTTCTAAAATTGAGTATAGAAGACATGTGAAGTCTCACGATTTCAAACATGTGTGCAATGTTTGCCAGAAAGGCTGTAAAACTGCTTTGCTTTTGAAAATCCACAAAAGATCTCATGCCAAAGTAGGTCACTTATCTTGTAAAGTTTGTGCAAGATCATTTTCAAATATATATTGCTTAAAAGAGCATTTAAAATACCACAAATCTTCACATTTCAAAAAACCATCTGAGGAAATGTTGATAAAGGCTGCTATAAACAAGCACAATAAAGATATAGTTAAACTTAAAAGTCATACCAGTAGCAAAACGTGCCTGTCTAGTCTAAGTAAATTGATTAAGCTAGAGTGCGAAATATGCCAGAAAACCTTTTCTAGTGAAAAACGCTTAGAAAATCATGCACGTGTACATCAAAGTACCTACATATGTGGTATATGTAAAAAAGCATTTGGGTCTGTGCCTAAATTGAAAATTCACTTAAGATTTCATGGTCGAATGTTTCAATGTGAAACTTGTGATAAAGGTTTTTTTGATGAGAAAGAGTTACAAGAACACATTCAATATCAACATATTTTAGAAAAGAACTATCCTTGCAAAATTTGTAATGATCGTTTTACTACAGCAAATGAATTAAAACAACATGTAAATCACCATGCTCCAACTATGCTATTTAGTGGAGCCTCACTTGAGGAGAGCACCATTCCAGTTGTAAACAGAACATATAAAAAGTCTAGTATTGGCTATCATAATTCAAAATATTCTGAAACAGAAGAATCAAGCGATGATGAAGGTTCAAATGTGCATAAAAGCTCAAAACCATGTGACTCTGATGATGACAGTATTTTGGATAGTAACGTGTTTTTTGAAATAATTAACAATGCTCTCGATGGTAGTGATGATAATCTAAATGATGCTGAACTCTCTGACTCAGATGAGGAGCTATTTTCTGGTATTAAGGCAGCTTTAGAATCTGAAGTAATGAGCTCAGGAGAATCTGATAATGGTGAGTCCAAAGAGCCTTTACTCCAGAAACCAATTTTATATACTCATAACGAAATTCTCAAAAAGAATAGTGTTGAATTTGAAAGGTACTCTTTGATAGATTCAGAAAAAAGTATATTTAAGTGTAAATTGTGTGATATTTCCTTTGATGAGCAGAAATATCTAAAAAATCACTTAAAATGCCATGTTTGTGAATATTGCAACAAATTTTTTACTGATAAAGAAAAACTAGCAGCTCATAAGTCTCGGCATGTGAAACAGCTCTTGAGAGAAATAAAAAATGAAGCTGGCCGATTACAGATACCTAGATTCAGGTGGAAAGGTTTTCTAATGCCATTGTCTGATTCTGATCATGATATAGATGATCAATTTCTCAATGAACTGGAAGATATTTTGGAAGGTGAGCCACCAAAAGTACAACGCTCTGTCAACTTTCTTCACACTCTTTCACATGATGAAATAGTTCGTGCCAACAAACAAATATTTGACCACTACTCTTGTCTAGATCTGACTAACAACATATTTGCTTGTACCATATGTAAAAGAAAATATGCAAGACCAACTACTTTAACTAGACACTTTAAAACTCATGTTTGTCAATTCTGTAACAAATTTTTTGAAGACAAATCAGATTTATTGGAGCATAAATATAGACATAGAAAGAAAGCTGCTTTAATGAAAGCTGAGATTACTGGTGAAGGAAGCAAAATGCCACCGTCCCCTATAGTTTCTAAACAAAATCGAGACATGTTCAAGAGATATTCTTATGTTGACTCTGAGAGAAATATTAATCGTTGTACTTTGTGTTGTAAAGATTTTGTACGCAGAACTGTACTGACACGTCATATGAAAACACATATTTGTTGTCATTGTGACAAGTTTTTTGAGGACAAATATGATTTAGCTAAGCATACAACATTCCATAAAGTGGAGAAACAATACATTGATGATGATGGCCCAGAAAATGATGATTTTGCAGAGTTTGAAGAAGATGATAAACAATACTCCACCAATTCGTCCATTGCTGGAAATTTGGATAATGATGAAAAAAATATAACATTACCTCCATCCTATTCATCTTCAATAGGACATTTCAATCCACCTTTTCATACACAACCCACATGCAGTAGCAGAAATGATACCATTACATTTATTCAAATTCCAAGTTCTGAAAGCAGTAGTACTGCTAATGCTCAAGTATATTCTGCTCCGGGAAATGGAGCATCCTCATATCAGATAATCTCTCAATCTGTAGAAGTCTATAAGGAGAATGGGCAGGAATCTTTTTTGGTAGCTTCATCAAGCTGTCAGGGACAAGAATCTGATAAAATTATTACAATATCTCAGCCTCAGATTGTCCCTACTAGTTCAGAAAGCAGAGAACGACTATTTGAATGTGGTGAGTGTGGGAAAAGGTTCTTCAAGAATGGTCACTTGAAGTCCCATATGACTATTCATACAGGTGACAGGCCCTATGTGTGCCGCTTGTGTGGGAAGGCATTTGGCAGAGGAACTACTTTACGAAAACATGAGAAAACACACATGAAGAGATGTAAGATCTGTGATACTTCTTTTACTCACAAATATGAACTAGACTTGCACATGGAGATTCACAGAACATATGCATTTTATAAATAATTTTTTAAAAGGTGCATAAAATTCTAGTTTATTCAAATGACCATTTAGTGGATATTTCAGAACCTGTGATATTCATCATACATTTCCAAAGGATCAATACTTTTATATTAGTACCATTATTTCCTTAGAGTAAGAACTAATAATTGTAAATTCCAACTATTTTCAAATTTTAATGTATTTTTCTTGAAGAGTAAAATATATTAATGAGTTCTGATGTTTTGGACTATTTTTGTTAATTAAAAATTGTATCTTCAGAATAGATCATGGATTACAATTTTATGTATTTTGTAGGTGGTTTTTTTTTAGTGAAGAAATGTTACAAATAAAATATTTAGGTTATTCCTTATCATTTTATGTCTCAATCCGATTACTTTTAACTGTTCATACTGTCATAAACATGTGCATATTGTCTTTCTCTAAATGCTCAATAAGAAGCTTGTGTTAAAAATTAATATTTATTTAATGAGTTCTTAAATTTTATTTACTATCAATGGTTTTGAAGACATGTGATATTTTTTTATAAGTATAATACCCCGGTATTGATTGTTAAAAATTTCCATGAAGATTGTTAAATATTAAACACTAACACTGTTATTATTTTTCAATATCATATTGAATTTTTTTTGTTTTTTTTGCTTTTTGTCATGATGAAGTATGTTTTTAAATACATTGTGATTACATTTGCCATAAATCTTTATAAAGCTAGCATTATTTTATTTAAAAATTTAGTTCAAAAGGATTTATTTACATGAAAAACTGCTTCTACAAAAAGCTATAATTCACAGTAAAGAGTTTTGTCCTTCTAATTTTTAAACAAAAGATAAAAATTTAAAATGGGTGTTCTTTTATCTATGCTCATGCAGTCCTAAATCTTTATAAATATGTAGATGGACAGCTTGCTAAAAGGCTCATGAATTGTTAATAATTGTTGTTAATTTGAATTTTAAAGGTTGAATTTCCCTAATTATGTCTGACTATTTAAGTTTATTTAAGTACAACGTTGGGTACTACAATGTTTATTATTTTAAAAACTATTTTGTCTAGTTAAGATTAAACTTTTGGATATAAAACGTGAGTCTATTCCTGCTTCATTCTCTTATCTGTTTTCGTTCATTTGGTTTCCAATTCCTTGTTCTCTATTCATATTGGATTGTCTAAATATTATTGCAACACTTATTGTCTTAATTTGTTGAATTAAAAAAAATAACTAAATGTTTTTTATGGTTCTTCTATGAACTTTGCAATACATTTCTATTCCATGCCACATTGAGTTGCTCACAAATGATGGTAATAGTAATCACCAATTTGGTCTTTTTTTTTTGCTACTTTAGCTGGCCACTTTGCTTGCAGTTTGAAAATTTGCAAATGTTTTGTTCTGGCCTGGTGGAGTTTTAATTTTTCTGACGGTGGTCTTATTGTGACAATAATGCACATCAAATGTCACTCACTTGAAAATTGGACAATGAGATGGTACACGATTGGAAAAGGAGTTACAGCCTTAGTACAAAAATGTTAAAGAAGGAAATTCCGACATATCTTTGCTTATTCAAGCCAGGCCAAATATAGGGCCTGCTTTCTGAAAGCATTTAGTGTACGTTAATCACTCTCTGTAAGAGGGATGCTCTCGGTAGCCACCGATTACACTACCGCAGGATGTGACTCATGTTTCGGTTTAGTTATAAAATGTAGTAGCTCACCATGTCCCTATAGTAAGGTGCTCATTAAAACCATATAGACGCTGTAGTGCTCAGCTGGGCGCTATTGGCCACCCACGTTGTAGCTTGTGACCTTATTCCGCCCCAATCCATTTCGCGGGCTGATTAGTCTCTAGATCCAAATCAAGAAAAGATCGGGTGTTAGCTGGTCTAGTGAGGAAATATTATCCACTAGCTGACCCGCGCCGTAAGCATACGCAGCTATTTAGTTGTTTTTTTTCCTCCCCCCCCCCCTCCCCCGAGTGATGAGTGAGACGACAATGAAAAGATCAAGCAGAACTTGTTAATACCTCCCTTAGTTTCAAATCGGTTTAAAAACTGAATTATCTACCCCTAAAAGGTCGTCCATAAATGACGTCACACTCGTAGGAGGAGAGGGGTCCGTAATTTTGTGGGGGGGGGGGGGGGGGGGTCACACATTTGCATTATAAAAAAGCAATGTTAGAAGACGGAATGTTAGTTAGACGTTATTTCGCGTTTTAGAAAACTGTTTTAATAAATAGCAATAGGAATTGATTAAAATTCTCTATTTCGACAAAGTTCAGACAAGATTTTGGAAAAATTTCGGAGTTTTAAGAAAAATTCAACTGCAATTTTGAGGGGGGTTGTAAGCTGAGGTGTGGCGTCATTTTAGGGGGGGGGGGTGTCTGGCTATTTGTGACGGAGGGGAGGGGGGGGGGTAAAATCGTCAACAAAGCGTGACGCCATTTATGGATATCATTCACTGACCCGGCTCTACGATTGTAAACATTTATCGTGAACCATGGCTCACCAGACTGGTGGGGGTGGAAGCAATATGGTCTGTTGAGCATGCCTGGAGAGCGAGGGAGGGGGAGGCTCGGCGTGCGTATACGTCTTGTCCCGCATGGTCCCTCCACGAAGAGAATTATAATATTACGAGCCGACCCGCGGCGTATCATACGCCGCTATTTAGTTGTTTTATTATCTATTTTTCAGTAATTCATACTTTGTGAATTCGACAGTACCAGTGCTGCCACTCACAATATTTGCTTTAAAACACTATCAGATACCCCCCCCCCCACCCTACTTTCCCCCAACCCCTCCACCCCCCCCCCCCCTCCCCCGTGAAAGCAGCCTCCTCTTAGTTAGCTCCCATAAGTTTAAATCTTTCAAACTAAATTATCTGCCCCTAATCGCCGTCACTAAACCCGGCTCTACGATTGTAAACATTTAGCGTGAACCACAGCTCACCAGACCATGTGGGGGGTGGTAGGGATATGCCTAGAGATGAAGAGAGGAGGCTGCTAGGCGCGCTTACAGCCTGGTGTTTTCTAGGGTATCCAAGAAGAGAATTAAATGTTTAGATAGATTATATAGATTAGGATTTCACTGGTCAGTTCCAGCTTTGGCCGAATAACTGTATTACTTATTATATCTAGGAATTGAAACAAAATTAACCCTTATCCCGCGTAACATAATCCCTGCTAGGCCAATGGGGTCAAGTGATTTTTTTTTCTAAATCTAGATCTAGTAAATTATGCTACTTCCATCACTTCTTTTTTAAATTTAAATTTTCGGTTCCGTCCCGTTTAGCGAAATAAATAATTAAATATAATTTAACCCATTCAGTGATTTTTTTCGGTGTCTTTTTTATGGTGAACGGGAAAAAAGTTTTTGCGAGGTAAAAAAAGTCACAAAGGAGAAATTTTATCGGACAAAAAGTCACAGAAGAAAAGTCACAAACATCTTTTTAAAATATTTTGATTTAATTGTTAAGAATTGAAAAATTGTGGGTGTTTATTAGTGTGGATTGCTTTTGTTTTAGTAGCATATTTATAAAATGAAAGCAATACGGTTTATAACAATAATACGTAAAAATAAAATTACGTAATGTACACTGCAACCTCACCTTTTGTTACGTATTTAGTTAAATACGCGGTAGAAAAATTAATTACACAAGAAATTTTGGTACATCATTGTGCTTTGCATATTTGTTAGTGCCTGTTGGCCATTCTTTGGTCGGCTTTTCCTCAGTCGGCCTTGTCCGTCCATATTGTGTGTTGCTGACGTTATGCGTGAAAGCCAGCCTTTGTACTGTGTCGGCTTTCTGTTTTGATCCTATGCTTTGTTACGTAATGAGCGTGATGAATGTGGTCAGAAAATGTGGTTGAACTATCGTTGCGGTAGGTTGATGGCAGCAAGTTTGATTAGCAACGTCTTTATGCCATTTCACGCTAATTAAAATACAGGATTATATGTATAGCGGAATTAAAACCAACATACACACTTCATCATACTAAATATTTTTACGTGTGTTATAAATGTTACTATATATATATATATATATATATATATATATATATATATATATATATATATATATATATATATATATATATATATATATATATATACAACCTACGCACACTGCATTACAGTTAATTAATCTAAGTTTATTTGCACTCGATGAATCATTATTTAACACATAGATCTACAAGTATTAACGAATTCCATGCAAATTTATAACTGTGACTTTTTTCCTGTGACTATTTTTCTGATGTTTTTTTTTTTCGTGTTTTTTTTTTCCTGTGACTTTTTTTCCTACAATCCTTTTTTACAAGCTTTTATTTAACTCACTTCCTCGTCAGTCGACAGTCGACAGTCTGTCTGTCTAGACGGAAACGCAGGAGTGAAAATTCGGACAGTTCTACTTGACCGACACGATTCACAGTTGGCACGTGGGTCAAGACATGAAGACAATGCAATCTGAAACTAAATTTGACTTAATTGGATGCCTAATTGATTTTTTATGAATTAATTAAAATTTGGACCGAATTAGTAGGCATGTCTAGCCAACCACACCACACGCGTCATCAATAGCTGCGCCATCACGACCACGTAATGGCTGCGTTCAAAAACCATTGCGCGCCTACTGAACGTGATATTCAGTAGGCGCGCAATGGTTTTTAGTCATGTAACTCTATTGTAGATAAAACATGTAAAGTACTGAAAAAAAAATTCATAAAAAACGTTTTAATAACAAGCTTTTATGTAATGATGCACTAAAAAGTAGAAAATAAATTATAGACTACTATTTAAATAACTATAAAGAAAAGCGTGGGTGTCTTCCTTAACATTAGTAAAGGTATCCAATAGATACTAAAGTGACCCACGCTTTTCTTTATAGTTATTTAAATAGTAGTCTATAATTTATTTTCTACTTTTTAGTGCATCATTACATAAAAGCTTGTTATTAAAACGTTTTTTATGAATTTTTTTTTTATATGTTCACCGATACAGGAACGACTACTCAATCTTCCTTATTAGATGAAACGAAACAAATCATATTCATAAGTTCATGCTGGTAGTCATTCATGATGCAATTCTTGTGTCGGCTGTAGTCTATTACTTTTTATATTAATTATTAGATTCTAGACTTTTTTTTAATTAACTAGATCTAGATTTTACTAGACTAGATAGAAGATCCTGGTCCTATATTAATAACGCCCTAGCCCTAGCAGAAGTAGACGAGTCTAAAAGTTAAAAGTAAAAGCCTAGCACTGCACTGCTAGATCTAGATCTAGATCTAGATCTAGTAGCAGCACTTAGCAGCATTGCCGCATTGGCTTAGCTTTTTATTAGTTTTTAAGTTTTTAAAGCATTTTTTTTTTACTTTAACTTAACTCACTTTTTTTTACACTTCAAGTAACTTTATTCACTTCACTGTAAAGTGTAAATAGTAAATACTAAATAATATTTAATATACTTAAATATACTAATACTAGAATCTAGATTCTAGAACTAATAGTACTAATACTACTACTAATAGACTAATAGTATGATAGAGATCTAGATCTAATACTAATTAATAGAGTTAGAGGAATCTAGTGTTCAGTGCTGCTACATACTACATATTCTTTGCAATTCAAGCCTATTTGTTACGAGCAGACCCGCGGCATATCATACGCCGCTATTTAGTTGTTTTATTTTCTACTTTTCAGTAATTCATAATTTGTGAATTCGACAGTACCAACGCTGCCACTGAAAATATTAGCTTTAAAACACTCAGTAGTTCGGTAAGGACGATAACCCCCCTCCTTTCCCCTACCCCCCCCCCCCTGTGAAAGTAAACTCCTCTTAGTTACCTCCCCTAAGTTTAAAATCGTTCAAACTAAATTATCTGCCCCTAATAGCTGTCACTAAACCCGGCTCTACGATTGTAAACATTTAGCGTGAACCAAAGCTCACCAGGCCATTTAGGGGTGGGCTTGGTGTTTTCTATCGTCTCCAAGAAGAGAATTATATATATATATATAGATAATTTTATTATTTTCATGTTGACCTGAGTATCAGTATCCTATCAGTTATCAGACTTTGGTCTGGTTTTGATTGTGGCAGTTGACTGGCTAGCTTAGCTAATAATAATCTAGATCTAGCTGAATTTTTTAAAATTAATTCTAGACCCTCTTGATTTATTAATGAGTTTAGTCATGCTGCTTACTTAGACTAGGCCTTCTTACTTAGTACCTAGAATAGATTACTAGATCTAAATAATAATTAAGATTAGGCCTAAAAGTTATTTATATTAAAATATATCTGTGTTGAACAGTGACTACTAAAGTTAAATGACTTATGCAAATTACAGTGATAGCCTTATCTAATAATGATCAATGGAAAAGCTACACATATTTATCTTTGCACTTAACAAGTTTTTGAACAGTAATTCTAAACTGCCATTTTTGACTACTGCAGCTTTGAAATTGCTAAAAAGTTATCAGTGCCCATATAGCATTGATTATGCCTGTGTACAGTACCGACATAGGAGGAAATTTTTAAAATGCTCTTCACTTAATCTTAAGCCTCATCATAACAGTTGCAGGAATAGCTTTCTACAACACTACTCACTGAAAAACCCAGCTGCTTTATTCAACAATAACAGTTTGCAGTTTTCTGCTAATACAAGCATGACACCTATAGTTGAAAATCAAGCTGATTTAAAAACTGGGAAGCCTCATACCTTGTTTTGCTATGTATATAACAATTCTGATGGTGTACTTAATCCAGCTGTTTGTACAAGACACACAGAAAATGAAAGTCATTACACTAAACCTGGTAAATATTTTTTGGTACTTACTGTTAAGCTCTAGGCAATGACATGATTTCTTTCCAATCATGTTTATATTTGATTTAGGTAGTATTGATGGTACTGATAGTGTCATTTTTAGCCTTTTTTTTTTCTGCTTTGTGCTTCTAAGAAAATTATTTGGCTAATATATTTTGTTTCTTTACTTAACTAGGTATTATAAATAATAGCTAAGTGGTCATCCATACTTTAAAAAAAAACAACTAGTCAACATTGAGTGTATTGATGAATATTTATTAGGCCTAAATTTACACAAAATGTCATTTTAAAATTAATAAAAATCAAAATAACTGCTAAAAATTTAGCTTCAAATATTATTTTTTAAATTGCAAAAGAATGTGGCCTTTTTAAAGTTATTATATTGCTGGTATTTCTGCCAGTGTTATGTAGGTATTAATCTTAAATTGTAAAGAGCATTAGTTTCTTTTTTTCATACCAGTATTCATATTTGTTTTTCTAAATATAGATTTCAAAGATGTTATACAAAGGAGCACTGCCTGTCTTTTAAGTGGTGGAGTTGTTGCTGTTCCAACAGATACAATTTATGGTATAGCTGGTCTAGCTCAAAATGTTGATGCTGTCAACAGAATTTATGAAATTAAAAAAAGAAACTTTCAGAATCCTGTTGCTATCAGTGTTGCAACTATTGATGATATTTATAGGTTTGGTTAAATAGTTTCTATTCTATGTGCTTTGTTAATTTGTTGATAATATCTTTGCAGCATAAAAAAATAAAATCTACTGCTATCAGTATGTCTCCTCAGTTTATTAATTTAAATACATGCTGGTATGTTACAATTTTGCAGATGGGGAAAAGTAAATATTCCTAAACAGATTTTAACAGAACTCTTGCCAGGTCCAGTAACTGTTGTTTTTGAAAGAAGTCCTGATTTAAATCCTCTTCTCAATCCCAACACAAATTTGGTTGGTATTCGTATACCAAAAAATGACTTTATGCAGGAATTAGTTAAACAATGCAATGGTCCTATTGCCCTGACCAGTGCTAATATCAGCGGAGCAAAAAGTTGTCTAGAAATTGAGGTTTGTGATTTTCATTCTCTTTGGTGAAAAGTAAAGTATTTTTAATCAAATTATTATGTGAACTGTAGAAGTCACAAAAAAAAAAAAAAAAAATCAATGAAGACTGTCTGAATGCAGAAAATATTGAAATGCCACACTTACTGTGGATATGCTGATCAAATGAACAAATTGAGGTTTTGCAGACCTGATAGTAATTTTAATACATATTCTATGAAAGTATAATTCATTAAACAAAATTGATTCTGTTGAAATAGGAGTTTAAAAACTTATGGAACAGCCTTGACCTTATTGTGGATGGAGGAAAGATCAATGATACAGAAGAGTCTCGTCTGGGTTCTACTGTTGTTGACTTGTCAGTATCTGGAAAATTCCGTATTATCAGACCAGGGAGGTTAGTTAAATTAGTTTCTCATAGAATTTTTTTTTCAGAGTTAAGTAAAGTGAATTTCAAACATATTTCAGTACATTTTTTTACTTCATTATTTAATAATTAATTTTAGATTGTATACTTTATTTTATTTACAAAATGTTTGATCAATAAGTAGTTTATCTCCCTTTATAGAAATAAACAACTCACAAGTAGTATCAAAGAAAATTAAAGCTCAAAATCACCACTGGCATGTGTAGAAACAAAAAATAATTTGAAATTTCATGTTTTACCATGGTTAAGAAAATAGACTGAACTTTTATAACTAGAAATAAAAAATCTTAAAAATGGTTTGAGTTTGGTATGCAAATAATATACACTTACCTAACCTAAGTTTTTAAGTACTTTTTGTCTCCACACCATCTGGTTTACAGCTACACAATTTTTACTTTCTAATAATACGGTGTATAGAGGAAGTATTGTAATTGTTCAAAAAATCAAAAGCATGACTTTTATTCACAAATCTTAAGGACCTTGAGTACTGTTTCAGCTAAGTTGACAAAATTTCATATATAAGTATCATATCAAATTTGTAGTTTTCTGGTTTCTGACTGGTTTCTGTCAAATTTTGAATGATTTACAATGACCTGGTGATTTCTCTGGCTATTATGGGTTAATGGTAGATCACTCCTGCTTTATTTAGTTCAATTTTTTGTCTTAGGCTTAAATTCTTAAACTAACTAAAGGCATGGGGTCACACATAGGCTAGCCGATAACTGGCTTAAAATGATCCTTCTATTACTGATATCAACCACTTTAAGTCTCAACCACTTTAAGTCTCACACAGCTTTTCTTCCATCCCACCTTACTACAGCAACCCTTTGTGCCATTGGTTAGTTCCTGGCTCGACTGAGGGGACTCTTCTATCATTGAGTTAAACCCCTTGACTCAGGCATAGACTTGTTTAGTCTGCATATCTAGCACATTGGGCCACCTGCAGTGGTTTGACCTGTGAGTGTTGGTCTCAGTATTGGTTTTATGGTTGTGAACATCATTAGGTGATGGGGCGGGCCATTGTGTGACACTGTAGCATTGATAGTGATTCTTTGTTTGCTTGCATTCTGATAAGGTTGACATTAATTATTTGAGACTATTTTAGGCTTACAATTAAGACATAGTTTGATAGTGCTTTATGAGTAATAGCATCTCTGCAACTTTAACCACAAAATGCTTTTTGGTGAGGTATTTTTGACCACCCTTGAACCACTATGCCCAACCTTGTCTCTACAGTCTTTTCTTTTCAATCTCTGAACATAACTGGATTAGGCCAGATTTTGCCACATGCATCTTCTTTCTCATTGCCTCTTCCCAGATCTGTCTTGGGTACCTATTGGAACACTCTATCCTATTAGAGCCTCCTATTAGAGCTGCCTAAAATATTTAGAACATATCACCATTGTCTTGCGTGCCATTACCCTCAATGGCATGTATGTTGATTATCATTAATTTATTGTTGTACATACTTAATCTACTAGCATAAATGACCTTGTAAATATAAAATATTTATAAAATTGAAATCACCATTTAATCTGAGTTAGTTTAGTAGTTCAAGTGTCCCCTGAGCCACAACTTGAATTTTTTAAGTCTATTTTGCCCCTCTTATTCATTATCCTTTTAACTTTATTTTTAGAATTTATCATTATCTCTTATGATAATGATAGTTTATTGTACTTAATTTTTAATGGTACAGTTCAGTATTTTTTTTCACTACTAATGCTATTGAAATTTTTACACATAAATTTTGGAAACCATAAATTACATTTCATTTAATTAAATTTTAAATATTTCAGTGCATACCAAGCCACTAGCTCTTGTTTGAGAAGATTTGGCCTGCAGGAAGTCAAGGATGTTACAGTATCAGAGAGATAGCATAAGCATAACTTCTAGGTACTTTTTATTTGAGAAAATGCTACTGTTACAAATGTTTTACTGTACAAATAAATAGTTCCTTGTTTAAAGATTTCTGATGTAAAAATATGTTATTAAGTGTTGTTGTTAAATACCTTTAATATTTTGTTTTCTATGTTGTTTTCAAAACCTACTAACACTAACAGTCTCCAAAATATATTTTCACCTTTCTTTTTTGTTAAGGCCTACATAATTTGTTTCTGAGAATATTCAACATTATACAAGTCTCATTAATTGATTTAAATTTGTTAAATGGTGGATCCCATTGTTCACTTGATATAATAAACCGGGAGTGATCTCCCCTAAACTTTCTCGAATATTCTTATATAAAATAACAGGGGATGGGAACTCGGGCTATAGACATGATTTTTAATCCATTTTAAATACTTAAAGTTTTAAAAATAGAATAAAATCTCGTAGACAAATTAATTGCACACCAAGTGAACGCGAAATAAAAAAGCGCATAATAGTGCGCAATATTATTATTACTTTTAAAATTTACATTAGTTTTTTGAGAAATCGGAAGTAGCGTAAAGTACTACTTCCAGTCAACGGAAATGACTCAAAATTTAATAGAAGGTAGAGAATTAGATCTTTTACTTACGTATGAAATTTCATGTATCTATCTGAAATAGTACTCAAGTTATAGGCTTTTGAAAAATTCAAAGTAGAAAAAGTACCACTTCCGGTTATCGGAAATCGCTCAAAAGTTGATACGGATCTACGATTTTGATTAAATACTTATATATGAAATTTCATCAACCTAGCTGTAACGGTACTCAAGTTATCGTGTTTACACACGGACACACACACACACAGACACACAGACACACAGACATACAGACAAGATTGCAAAATTATGTTTTTCCGTATCAGTGAGATGCAAAACGTCGAGATTTGCAAAAATCTCGATTTTTTTTTTTTGCACGATTACAAGACTTTCTCTATACTTCGTATATACGAGAAAGTAAAAATTGTAAATTATGACTGAAAAATATGATTTTTATATTATTTGATTGAAATTTTATAAAACCTAATCATATATACAAGTAACATTTTTGTTACTGTGTATATAGGCTTATACTTGACAAGTTTTAAAATTAAATATATACTGTTCTGACTTTAATTATATTACATTTTTTTTTTTTAATTTTTAAGTGGGTCAACTGCATTAGTTATCAATTATTAACTGAACAATAAATTGACTCAATGTATACAATTTGATTAAAAATTTTATTTTTCAATATTTCTTTAGTTTGCCTTTTTAAAGAAAAGTGAATATTTACCCTTCAGACTTCTTTATATTCCTCTAAATTCAGCCATGTGACTTCTTAAATTGCGAGTCCTAGACCTCCCTGTTAGGTTGTTATCCAAGTTGTTTCTAGTGTGATGCATGTCTTGGTATTGCATTGCTCTATCATAGGGATTAAATCGTCTAAAACCTCTCCTTCTCTGGACTATATTGTTTCGAAGCACAGGTGGATTTTGGTAACCTCCAGTGGGGAGTTCATAAAAATTATCCTAAAAAAACAAATGTGTAACCTTGGATCTGGATCATTACAATAGTAGACAGGATCTACTCCTTGTTTTATCAAATTTACTAACTTGCATACACCCGTGTTATTAGTTAAGGATCAAATTTAAAGTCCCCTAATAAACTAAATAAAAACTCCCTTTATTATGCTTGTCCATTTCTTATAATCTTCTGGGAGGAATCTAAAATACCTGATTATTCCCATACTGAGCATTGAACACACCTTCCAATGCCAAAAATTGCACCCTCATCAGTCTCATCTGGTGTCCATGTATGAATGGATTAAACAAAAGAGGAGCAGTCTCATAATCACCATGGCATGATGCATTACTGAAAGTTATCACACACAAAAATCAGGGCCTGAATTTAACACAATTGCTTAATGAACTACATCTTCTAAGTTTATACGCATGTTCAAACAGAATAGCTTTAAGAAACAAATGTTCATGTTTCTAGTGGGATCATTGCACTTGGCAGGTAGACCCTCAAGCAAGGGGTGCAGTCAGTGTTTCTTTCAGACTATTACTCCGGGGTGGGGGGCACTTGAATTCTATTTCATTCGGAGCTCCCCCAAAGAGGTTCATGGAGAGGGGTAGCACCAATACAAAAAATACGGAATGGTGGGGGCGACACTCACAGCAGCAGCACCGGGTGAGACCCGACCTAGTGACGCTACTGTCGTCATTAGTCGTCAAACCTCTCAGACCAAAGCCTTATGTGTGAGCACAGAATGCCGGCTCAACTATAACACCGCTAGCGCGCGTGCAATAAAATATGTGCACGATTCTATAGCTTTATGAGGAAGTTCCATAAGTCCATAATGTTTTGTTCCGCTTTTTATCACATCTTACAAATTGTAATTCTGGTCGGTGGTAGAGCTTACAGCTACTAACCAGAAAACCTCCAGTTCGGATCCCCGTAGGACGTCCTTGAGTCCACCCAACTCACGTTAGGGAAACATAGGCATAGTGCTGACCACACTATCCCTCATATGGCGAGGTCATTGAAACATGAACTCTGCTTCATTAGCCCCACTCGTCTTAAGCACGCATGTTGTTATAAAAAGAAATATAGATCTATATTGTCCTTTATCTGAATGGTTATTTCACCCACCCACACCATCCCTGGAAAATTCCTAAAAGTGCCCGTGCACATTCAAACCTCTATTTCCTTTCCGTCACGCTTTGCTGAGTTTCCGCTTAAATGGCAATGTTCGCCCCCGATAAATATTCAACTTTTAAAAATTCTCTGACACGCGAGAATATCTCGGCGCTCTGCAATGTCTACATGTAAACTCAGCCATTCGTCAGTTAAGTCACGTGGTGATGACGTTTGTGAATCATTACCGCACCACAAGGTCATGCGCTACATTATTTACTACCCTACAAGGGTAGATCTATTTTTGGGACACAGCGTACTGGATACAACCAGACGAATTTTAACAAGGGAACTTTTAAACACCACCAGCCCACATTAACCAGGCCTGCAACAATAGTCCGACGAACGAGATTACGTCACAGAGTCCACCTAGCTCTGATGGGTACCTGTCTCACGTTAGGGGACCAAAGTGCTAACCACACTATCCCCCCCCCCCCCTTCTAGGCATCTCTCCGAAGAAAAACTTCCGCCTCCCCCCCCCCCCCCCCCCCCCAGAGGCGTAGCGACCCTTGCCGGCGCCCGGGGACAAACTTTCGATTTGCACCCCCCCCTCGAACTTTTCATTTGCACCCCCCCTCAAACTTTCAATTTGGCGCCCCCCCTAAGGTCGGCGCCCGGGGACGTTTGTCCCTCCCCCCGCCCCCCCCCCCTCTCGCTACGCCTCTGCTCCCCCCCCCCCTCCAACGAAATGGAATTATATAGAACATATATACGTTAACAGTGTCCACCCCCTCTCCCCGGAAATTTTAATCCGTTCCCCGAAAATTTAAATTCCCCCCCCCCCCCCCCCCGGAGAAAAAAGTCTAGAAGAAACACTGCCCCCCCCCCCCCCCCGTATGCCGAGATAGCTGAAAAGATTAACTCTACTTCATCTGCCCTATGTGTAATGAAAAGACGTTGATGATCATTAAAAAGTATTTGTCGAGCTAAATTTTAATTACATGAACCTATACGGTGCGACGTTTTATAATTCCTAATTTATTACGATTGTCGTTTTCTGTTGTGCGAGTGTGATACATAAACATGTGCATAAACTTCCCCATTCGAACCTGACGGCCCTTTATTTTCCATAATTTGAGTTAAGTACCCTTCAGAGCTGGGTAGACTCAGGCAAGTTTTACTGACTCGAACTCTGATTCTAATTCCAGATATTCGGGTTAGCAGTCTAGCGCTCTACCTCTAGGCCACGACGTCTCTTAAATGCATGCACCGAATTTAAACTGACTCCGGATCAAATAAAAACGAGATGTTTTGCACCGATACACCGTCAGATATGAGATATCATATTCATACCTGTCGACTGTCGACATGGATGATTTTCTCATGCTGAGGTTAGACTTGCGTCGCTTGAGTGAATTGAGTGCTTTGAGGATAGACAGCGTTGGCTCGACACACTCCAGCCATACCGACTCAGGTAGTCCATCAATCAAGGGCTGCATCAGATACTTGCCCGTAAACAAGCCGACGTAGTTCTCTTTCTTATCATCGTCCCAGTCCTGAAAGCTTTCCTAAAATAAATGTTTTAGTTTTAGTGTTATACGTTGTAATGTAAAGGTCCATAAATGACATCGAGATTTTACCCCTAAACTCCCTTAAATCAAGTCTAGGAGTACAAACGAAACAAAAAGGGTGGGAATTCGGAATTATGTGACGATAAGTAACGACACAAGTTTGCCTTTTCAAAAAATGTTAGAATATTAGTCGTTTTTAAAAGATTGTTAGAAATTAGAAAATATTTTAAAACAGAATTTTGTGTTTTTAAAACGATGCAATTTTGAAGGGGGGAGGGGGGTGTAGGCTAAGGTGGGACGTCTTGTTTGGCTCTTAGTGACGATGGGGAGGGGTAATAATCATCAGATAAGCTTGACGTCATGAGTCGATGTAGTGCAGTTGCTATCTGCAGTGTTTCTTTCTTTTATCGTGAAAACGTCTACCTTCCCACTCCCCTCGCGAAATTTGATATAAAAAGAAAAAAGTCTTAAATTTAAATTGAAAATATATACTTTAAGCAATTAAGATGAAAGCACGATATCCCATAGTAGTTTAGTAACCAGATGAACAAGATACCATTACACTTACACAAAGTGTGAAAAAAAGCTTCCAAACGTAATTAGTTGTAAAAAAAATAATTAAATGTAAGCTACTCCTCACCCAGTACTTTTTTTCTTCTCGGTAGGACATTCGCAGTGCTAAAAGTTCTGAGTTTAAAAAACCGTAACATACAGTTAGAACGGGTGTCTTTGAGATAGGGTTGCTGTTGATTAGATTAGAAAAATTATTTATTTTGTGGTTTGATAAGTAGTTGAAAATCACAGTTTTTAAAAAATAGGAAAGACAGTAAAATCATAGGCCTCCTGCAACGGTTTTCAGACGACATACGTTGATTTCAGTTTCTGGTAGATCCTACAGCTTATGAAACATAAAAAACAACAATCCTGACTTCTGGATATAGACTGAATGCTTTAATATAAGGTCTAAGGTATCCATTTATGTAATCAACTTCATTTACAATTGGTGTTATATGGATCTACCCCCATGTTTATAAGTGTTGAATATGAAAAGTATGTATTAAAGGTATAGGAGTAAGATCTAAATTGTTTGTGTATAGGATAAAGCCTATTATATATATATATATATATATATATATATATATATATATATATATATATATATATATATATATATATATAAAATAATTTTTATTTTCCAAAACACCGGCACTCAAGGTTAAAGTTAAATGTTTTGTGTTTTTGTATCGTAATTTTATGTTAATTTTTAATATGTGATCGTTCACATGGAGCCCCACTTAGTCCACACTCAACCCACTCATCCATAAAATTCATTTCTTTCGGACCATTACCCTGAATGTTGATGTCATTGAATTATTACTCCCCTCCCCCCCTTATAAGGTAGCTTAGGACGGCTTAGGCATCATGCACATCACGAAAAAGGCGAAGTAGTGGTTTGTTATAGAACACTGTTCTTCTGGAGACACGTCAAATCTAAATCTGGACCCCTCGAACCCCCCCCCCCCCTCATTCCTTAGACGCATTGGCCCTTGATTAATATAACCTACCTGTATTTAAGAAGACCTTCATCGTCTAGTACTTGAGTAAAATCATCGGGGTAATAGGAGCCATCATCTTCCATGTCACGATTGTTGTTCACGTCACGGGAGGCGGTAGGCCTACAATTTAGTAGCTGGCTGTTGTCTGTTGGAGCTTGACCATCGTTCACTGGCTGGCATTTAGGGGGATACATTCTGCAATTGGGAGAAATCATTGGATTCAAAACTCAGTTATGTTACTTAGTTGTCTCTCCTCATTGTATCAGTATTTAAACACAAGTGGTCCATACATTACTTATACAGGCTAAATGAAGAGTTAAAAATCCCAACTTTGATGAATTGTTTGAAATGTATAGCTATAAACAATAAATTAGAAGCCAAAGCTGAATGCATAAAACAGAATAACGTTCAATTTTCGTACCTGATTTTTCTCTCTCGTAACTCAGGTGTTCGATAGGACTCAAATACAATATTTATAATTAGGACACTCGCTTGATCCGGCTAATTCCAATTTTTGCTATCACAGAATAGATGGAAATCATTTTAAATTTTAACTAAAAATTTCACGCCGAATCTATCATTTTGCATATGAAGGAGGGGGAGGGGGGATAATCCATTGATTATAACCAGTGCCGGTGCCAGGTTATTTAGCGCCCTAGGCAAAACTTATTAAAAGCGCCCCCCGCAATTGTTTTCGTGCCCCCCCCCCCCCGCATTATCAGAGGAGTAGCGACCCTTCCCGGGGACACACTTTCGATTTCCCCCCCCCCCCCTCAAACTTTCGATTTGCACCCCCCCCCCTCATACTTTCAATTTGTTTTTCCAACCCATTTTGGCGCCCCCCTACGGACAGCGCCCTAGGCGACCGCCTAGTTTGCCTTATAGGTAGCGCCGGCCCTGATTATAACACCTGGAGTAATACCATATTTAAAATTAAAATATGTTGTTCCAGCTGACTTTGTAAATGTTCCTATATGCCGGTCATTTTTTTCTATTTTGAAATGCATGATTACCAACATTTCTAAAAGCATTAGTTATTGCTAGTAGTAGACTCAAAAAGGTACACCATATGATATTGTCCTATAATTTGCCCCTTTTAGGCCCTACTTATTTAGAAAGTAGGCTATACAAATTGCACAATTGCAAATGGAATAGCCTCTAGCTTTACAATATAAGGAGAGCTCATGTTTGACATGCCAGCGCTAGAAATCGCGCCGGTCTGTGAGCTGTACTATCTGGATATATTATATATGATATGTGCGCAATCATCTATATATATATAATTCTCTTCTTGGATACCCTAGAAAACACCAAGCTGTAAGCGCGCCTTGCAGTCCCCTCTCTTCCTCTCTAGGCATATCCCTACCACCCCCACCCCCACATGGTCTGGTGAGCTGAGGTTCACGCTAAATATTTACAATCGTAAAGCCGGGTTTAGTGACAGCTATTAGGGGCAGATAAGTTAGTTTGAAACTATTTTAAACTTAGGAGAAGTAACTAAGAGGAGGCTGCTTTCACGGGGGGTGGGGGTGGTGGGTAGGGGTTGGGGGAAAGGAGGGGGGGGGTATCGTCCTTAACGAGCTACTGATAGTGTTTTAAAGCAAATATTTTCAGTGACAGCAGTGGTACTGTCGAATTCACAAATTATGAATTACTGAAAAGTAGAATATAAAACAACTAAATAGTGGCGTATGATAAGCCGCGGGTCGGCTCGTGTCATACAACTCAATGGCCGAGCGATAGGGAAAGAGATGATGCGGACACCGGATGACAACAGTCAGCTAAGTAGTGAAGTCAGGCCGGCTTGTTCATCACCTATTGCTTTCGATAAACACTGATGGACATGGCGTGGGGTCGACAAGGAAATATCCTGCTCGATTATAGTATAACATCAATGTTGGGTTACACTAAGTTACAGTCTTTTAGAGACTCGACAACACGACGTGTATGCACTGTTACGGAGAAGGCTTAGACTG